TGGAAAACAACAACCCCCCATTGCATTAGCACTGCTGCGAATCAACCCCCTGGAACTCTTTTATGATGTGTAGAGGGGCGAAGGCGCGAGAAAAGAACGCGCGCAAATCTGTAAGTGCTTTTGCTGCTCTACTAATAGGGCTAAATACTTTTGCTTGTGCAATATTGGCCGACTTCCGGCAAAGGGGAGAACAAACACTGCATCGCATTTATGCAACTCATCTCCCACCGCTCAATTTTCTCAGCATATTTGTAATTTCCTGATTTCGGCTGTGAACACGTCGCACCCTTGTGCTTGGAGTTCAGTTTGTTCCGGTTGTTAGGAACGTGTTTTTTTCTACTTCATAAAATCAATTTATTGTAAAGGAAGATGATACAATTTCTTGTTTTATACATAAAGAATTCTTTTTGAATTAATGCGAAAATGAATTTTTTTAAGAATAAATAATTTGATTATTGGTATAGTCTAGCATTTTTTTTTAATTTAATATTTAATTTAAATTACGTATTACTTCATTATTTATTTTTCAATTCAACGATTAAATCCAAAGATATACCTGAATTTCGAAAAGAAAAATTAAAAACGTTTTCCCCCGAGGCGTTTTTCTGGACTGGTAATTTCGAAATCAGCGACTCTTCGTTTTCTCAACTGGAAATTTTAAAATTTATGACTCTTTAAAGAACTAAGGTCCAAAACATTTTAATTCAACGATTAAATAACATTTGGTTTAAATATATGCCAGCAAAAAATGATGATTTTTTTTATAAAGTTGAATAAAAAAAAGAAATTGTTTTGTATTAAGATATTTTTAATGAAAAACGCCTTGCATTGCAACTTCCATGAGTACATTTGGTGCCTGCAACCTCACGGTTATACCATACTGTAATTAAATTAAAATTCTGGAGAGTAAACTTTTGTGCATATATTTTTTGTCATCACAATAATTCCTACGATTATGCAACCCCATCTGAACAAAAGTCGCGACATCCAAGAGCTAATTGGTTGGGGTGTTGCAAACTGCAAAGCGCAGAGCATTTTTATTCACTCGATTCGCCTGCACAATGCAGATTAACCCACAAACCACCAGAACAATACGCCGTGTAATTAGCGGCTCGCCTGCGGGGTACGCCAGAGTAATCTCTCTCACAATCAAGCCCTCTTTTATCCTTTGCGTCGGAAACAATGCCCCTCCACATACCCAGGGACAAACGACCCGCAATTAACGTCACGTGTGCGCACAGCCCGTGCACCTATTGATTGAGGTCAAACCCCATTTTCCCGCCACATTGGCGAAGGAAAAATTGAATTTCGAGCTCTCTCGTGTGCGGGCGGATGGAGCCGTGTGTGAATGGGAATTGTGATTATCGGGGCGCTAACTTTGTAACAAACGTCAGCGCGATTCGCCAGCCGTTGATGCTGCGGCTGCTTTTGTTGCGGTCACACAAACTCGGCAATCAACCTGTCATACTGAGGTGGAAGGACCATCAAGGGGGAAGAGGAAATCGAAAATCAATTGTGGCAACAAGGCTGCGTTGTATGTATAAAAGGTGCGGGAATATGAAATCAAAATAATGAATTCCTGCAATGCCAATTAAGGGATTATTAAAAGGCTGATATTTGGTATTTTTTATTCATTTTATCATTTTGTTTTCTAATTAAATTATCAAAAATAATAAGTGAATCACAAAAGAAAGTAAAATACAATTTCAATCCTTGTTATTTTCACTAAAAAAAAAAAAAAAATCAAAAGTCAGGGCGTTTAGATGAACATTTCTAAAGTTACATGAACTTGGAAACATGCCAGTCATATTCTCAGGGTGAAAATTTAACTATTCACTGCAAGGCAAGCTTGAAATTATGCACTTAGAAATAAAACAATAACTATTTTGGAGCTAAATTTTTTTAATTTTCAACCTGTAAAGAAAATTCAAATTTTTTGACACTATATAAATTAAATTATAATTCATTTTTAACAAATATTAGAATTAAAACAAACATTTCCTTTCAACGCGCGCTTTACCGTTACTTCCCTTGTAAAATTTTCTTTCAAGAGGTCAAAGGAAATTGCGCAGTGTTCTTTTTCGGACGCGGCGATTGCAGTGACCAGTGGTGTGGCTCGGGTCGGGGGCAGTAGAAAAGCTCTAGCTTGCTTGCTTGCATAATGGCCAGTGTGGTGGCATTGAATTGGCAACACAAAGAAACAGACTTTTCTCTGCTCCGTTCGCGTCTTTCGCTGTTTTGTTTGCCCAATACAAAATAGCTGGCACCGCTGCCGGCAATAAAGTTGCAACCTTTTATATAAAGACACAAATCCATTGTGCGCTCCCTGCCTGCTTTTGCACAACAATCGCCGCGCTTTTCTTTTTTGCCGGAGCGCGAATAAAAGAGAGGAGCGAGCGAGCGCTGCAAATAAAAAGTAAACAGAGAGAGAGAAAAACACGTCGCCGTTCTGTACTTGAGGTTTTCGCCTGAATAAATTATTTATCTTGCGCTGCTGCATCTGCTCTTCAATTTTTTTCCAACTTTTTGTTCTTTTGCTTGGTTAAAATACCGCTGTTTTTTTTTACTACAGAATTGCAAAATTTTCCGCAGTTGCAAAGTAAATTTTTAATTCTCTGGAGCATATTTTTCCAGGCCGTTTAATTCAACACAAATTGAAGTGCACTCAAGTCGGTGAACAATTGAGTTGCTGCGGTTGATGAGCAGTAATTCAAAAACATTTTAATTGAGATTCAAACAAACGTGCGCTTTATTAGGGATAATTGCAGCAGCATAATTTGAGTGCTGCTCTGTGTGTTTTCACCGCTCAGTTGTTTGATTGTGCGTGAAGCATGAGCGCCAACGAGCGGACAATGAAAGGCGCCGCATTGCTCAATTTGCTGGATTAGCTTGTTGGTTTTAATTGCGTGCGTCGGATGCAAGGCTCAAGTAGCCACAACAAGGCACGCTTGAAATTTACGCAGCAACAACGACGTTTAAATCAACTATGCATTGCTCATTGTGCAAAAGGAATCTATTTTTTAAAAATCAAAATAATGAAAACGAATTTTTATAATAAATTTAACAATAGAAATAGTTAAATTTAGAAGTGTTGATCCCAATTTAACATCTAAGAGTAAGTTTCATGGGTCTTTTGAAATTTTTATAAACTGTTATGTTCATTTAAAGGACCAGTTACACATGCTTCTGAATTTCTAAAATAAATTTTTAAACAAATTTGACATTTTTTTTTAAATGAAACACTTTTTGTTGCTGATGATTGCCTGTAAAATTAAAACAGTTAAGATTTTCACATTTTGGACAATATTTCATCATCCTAATTATCAATATTTTTGTTAATGAGAAGTCACTTTAATTAAAAAAATTTTCAGTTTCAAGGACAGTGGTAAACCACGTGGGTTAGTAAATGAGAATTCTCATTACGGCTGAGACAACAGAGGCTTTTGTCCCAGCAAGAAAATGGGGAAGTGGAGAAATAAACCCTTCTCTCTCGCCACAATAGCAGCCAGTTGAACGAGCGTGAATTTTTAAAACCCATATCTGCTGCGTGCGCGCTGAACTTCTCCGCTCCTTGTCGCTCATCATCAGTTTCGCTCTCGTCCTCTCTTCTCATCATTTTTCCTTTTCTGAAAGCGCCAGCAGTGTGACACGCTTGCTATTATCTCTTGCGGCGGCCGGGGGAGCCGTTGAAAAAAGTCCGCCGTGAAAACAATGCTGCACTTGGCGCGCATATTTGTTTTGCTCCGGCCTGCTGGGAGAAGATGGTGCGTGCAGAAAAATTGGAGCGCCATTCTCTACCGCTGATGAGCACGCCGTGCGATCCATTGTGCGTGTTTTGAAAAAAGAACAAGTTCCAAATTTGAAAGGCTCCCTGAATAAAACGGGGGAAAACCTCGGCACGGAAAATTCCACTCCTATGCGAATAAAAAGCACCGTTAGAATAAAAAAAGTGTTCATTTAATTATTTATATATCTACTTGTTAATTGAGTCGTGCTTGGGTGAGTAATTACTGATTAGTGGTCATCCGTGACATTAGCATTTCAATGGAAAATTTGCTGCAGCTTGCTGAATGAGGCTTAATTTCATTCTTTTTTTCTGGGTCAACAACTTTGTTGCGAATTAATTAAGAGAGCAATCACTGATTAATGCGCTGTCCGTTCGCAATCTGCTTGTTCAAATCTTCTCTCTGCAACACTTTGCTGGAATTAAAACGAGCTCTTCAACATAATATAAGAGAGGACTTAAAATTTTTAATCTTTCACTTCAAAAGAGATGTGCCAACGGATGTTAAGAGACTGAAAATTAATACTATAATACTGTGAGTGGCTTTCACATTTTTCTTTGATGAGAAAACTGTGAAGAAATTTAGTATTAGCATAGAAAAATAAGATTAATTTCTTGAATTAAATCTAGTTTTAATCAGTGACTAATTTTTTTCGCAAATTAAATTTTTCTCTTTTAGATAAAACAATTATAGATGTGGGACCTAGATAAAATTTAGTGTGTTAATTTGATTTAATTATATATTAATATCTCGCCGAATGTGATGAGTCATTGCAAATTTTGCACCTGCAATCTTATTTTATACTGCCAAAAGTGAGTCATTCCTCAAGCAATGACACACCCGAACACCATAATCAGCACACAAAAAATTTACTCGAGCATAAGATTATGATTGAAAATTCCCCAAAGCAATCGAATTTAACACAATATTGATTCAGCTCCAGCATCTTTAAGGGTGTAACAACACCGGCAGCTCTCTTTATCTAATCTTGGGCAGTCATAATAGTGTGCATGAGGTTCGGCGTCTCCTCCCCATTTAGCTTCGCGTTGAGATATCTCGAGAGCGAGGAGAATCGGAAATTTTTATTTAAGTGAAAAAAAAAATAAGTTGCCTCGGCAGCTTCGCGTTCAAGTGCAGTCATAGCATATCACTGCGCTTTCACATTGTGTGACTGTCTCGTCTCAAGATAACAACACCTCTCTCGTTTGTCCCCAGAATCTGAACAAGAAAAACGCTGATCGCCAGAAACGGACTCTTTTTGCACACTGCCTGCTGATTTAGTCTTTCTGCCACTACTTCATGTATTGTTGGTAAGTACCAATTTATTTTATTTTTTTTTTTTAAGAAAAAACAGGATTTGTAATTTTTTAGAACTAAAAAAAAATTTCTTGAAAAAAGTCATTTTGGCTTTAAAAAAATCCTGTTTTTTTTTTTTTATCTTTCACAGCACAGAGAGTTTTCATGATTTTTTCCTTTCCGCATCGTCTATTCAATTCGTCCGCTTTTGATAAATGACCATCCACGAAATAATTAATTTCAATTTTGTCATGCGGCCGGTTGATGCTTCTGCGATAAGAACAAGTCTTGTAATTAAAATGGCGGTTTGGGCCCGGTTAATCAATCAGCTTGAAAAATAATAGCCGGTCAACATTATTATTGTTCGAGATATCTGCTGCTCTCACCGCGTTTTTTTTTCGATGCACAGAAAAAAATTTTATCAAAACGAGAATGAACACACTTTGCCAATTAGCAAGCAGATGCCTTTATTAAGATAACGTCGCTAAATCTCTTTATGTGTATTTGGATGGAGCGGCGCCGCTGGAATTTATTATTTCTCCGCCTGCCCGTCGAACAAAACAACTTGATCATTATATTTCTCATTCACGTCGGAATGTTTGGAAAATTTGCGGCGGCGTGAGCAGGCAGATGCCAATAATTGAGAGATTCATCTTTCAAGGGAAACTTTTAATTAAATTTTTAAAATATTATTAATGATTTTCAATATTTTCAACATTGCTGAAAAACGTGTGGGAAACGATTGACCTCAACGATCTATTTATTGATGGTTGATTGTTTAAATTTTTTATAATAGGCCACAAAAACTTAAATTGGATTAATAGGTATTTTAAAATTAAAATAAATCTTATTTAATTGATTAATTTTTTAAAGTTTTTGAAATTTGCTTGTTTTAGTGTCGCATGTCGATTACCGTGACCGATACTTGTAGTGCCGTTATGATTTAGGATATACAAATAATTCATGCAAAAAACACTAGCCCGCTTTTAATTTTCTTAAATAAGATTGTTTATAAATAATCTTATTTTATAAATATAATTTCATTGTAAATTTAGATTTAATTTAAATTTCTACTAATCGCGTTTTTAAAACCATGTCTATCTTGATCTCTAATAATTTTAAATTTGAACTAACTTGCAGATATTTATTTCAAAAAGTTCTCATATTTCATTCATTAATCAACAAATAAACTCCCTGAAACTCTGCACAGCATGTTGCAAAGTCATAGTAAAATAATTGGATTGTTCTTATCAAAGATCTAAAGATCTTGTATTCATTCATTAATTAAGCAGTTCTTCTGTTAATCGCTGGTAATTACAAATTATCTCATTTTGTACTCGCAAACGATTTTTTACTTGACACTTCCTTCGATTGGCTGAAAGTTGTTATTGTACATCTGTACTTCAGTCACACACAATTAATAGATAAGTGGAGGATTTATTGTGTTGTGTTTACTGAATCAATTATAAATTTTATATACCTCTGCATCTAATCCCCGAGCTCATTCAAAAAAGGAAAAATCGTGTGATTTATTGCATTGTTGTTGCATTGAGAGGACACAGAAAAATCCTTTGAATGATTAACACGCCATTTGCGTCACTGAGTTACAATAATATATAAAAGAGAGGTGGCTTGACCCATAATCTCTCTCATTTATATACAAGCAACGGAGATAAAGATGGCGCCCAGATAATTGTAATTGGCGAGTCCACTTTGCAACAAATGGAAATACTCATTCCAATATATAATATGAGAGAGCGATAAGCGCGTTTATTATATTATTGAGTGCTTCGGCTGGTAATCCAGTTATTTAGCCATAAACCGAGAGCAGAAGGAAAATGGAAATGATGCCTCTTTTTTATACCATGGGAGCTACTTTTTACGAACAATGATTTGTGGCGACTTTTATTGTCCAACCTGACGAGCTACTTTTTTTCCGTCCGCAAATAAAAATAAATATATCTGCTGTTTTTACTCGTGGATATAATTCCTCGATCATATAAGAGTTCGGTCCGGTAGCTAGAGTGCGTCGTGTGTTTTATTTCGCGCCACAAAACGCCGCCGCGACCATAATACCAAATAATGCCTCTGCACACGGTGGACGCTTGTAATTGGCTGCCGCCAGTATAAAAGTGCTGCTGCTTCTTCTCTTTATTATACAGGTGACCGCTAGTTACTTTTATAGTCCTACTTTTTAATGTTCCTCTCGCACTAAAAGTAAAAAAAACACACACACACACACGCTAGAGTCGATGTGTGGGATAAATTTCGTGTGAGAAACGGCGCGCAAGAGGTCAATTATTGTGCCGCCTCTAATGTCGCACACTCAGCCGAAGAATTTTCCGACTTGAATTTGCTCTTTACCTGCTGATTTACGCACAATTAAAGCTAATTGCTATGGCTGGACAAAAAATTTCATGCATGCACGAATGGTCCGAATAAATTGAATTTTTAAAGGCGACAAAGGCAATTTTGTTTAGAAAGAAAAAAATATACAACCTGGAATTTGGAGAGATGAAATTAAATATAAAATGAATACTAAACGCTTTTTGTTTCCTTTTATTTATAGTTTTCATTTCTTCAGTCTAATGTGTCTATTTTGTTGGACGTGTACCAAAACTTAACAACATTAAGTACAAGAAGCAGATTTTAAGATTAAATTATATATTTTACTAACACAAATCTGATAAAATTAATTAGATGAACTTTTAGCCGGACATTTAAAAAGAATAAAATTAATTTCGTAAAATAAATCTTACCATAATAATTCTTTGAAAATTATGAAATTTATAATTTTATAGTTAATGCAAAAATTTAATTATCGTAAAAATCATTCTGGTTATTTGTGGCTGACCAGAATCTGAGGGGAAATGAAACACCAAAAAATGAAAAAATCAATGAGAGTAATATTTAACCTATATTTTTTAATTGAAAATGAAAGATTTTTCTTATTTCTGTGAAGAAAAATTTATTATTTTTTACAAAAGTTGATGATATTAAAACAACTTAAAATATTTAATAAAAATTATACTTAAATCAAAGAGACCACCCTTGCAAACAAGAGCCCCTTTTTCCAATCAGCCTGATGCACCGCGCGTCCGTGTTTTTTCATTCACGATTTGTTAAAAAGATGAATCCAGCTGGGGAAAATAATAATCGAAAACGGCGATAAATTTGACAGAGGAACCTGACCGCAATATCTATTGAGAGCGGCGGCGGCGAACAAAAATTTTATGTGTTCCTTCGCCCCAATCCGCGGAGGGAGCGATCGAGTTATGTATGTCGGTGGCGTGGGTGGCGATCTGCCCCGAACGCACTTTGGGGGTTTGCGCCGCCGCTCGCCGCCTGAAAAATAGAGCCGGCGAGGGGCAACGCAAGGGATGCGAGGGCAGCTCGGATGTCCGCCGCCGCCGCTCGAGTGCATCTTACATAATTAATGATTTGCAGCTCTCCAGCGCGACATAAACCAAACCTATGTTCTCGAATTTGACACCAATATTGTATGAAAGAGATCGGAAAAAGAAAAGTGGCGCGAAAGATGACGACTTTGCTTGCCGAGAGGGCATGTTTATTGCTGGGGGATTTGCAGCTCACTGAATAATTGGACGATGTAAGAAACAGGAGACTTTTTTATTCAAAAAAGAAATATGAAAATTAGTATATTTTTATAATGCAGGTATAAATTTAGAGTTTTTAAATTTTTTAACTAGAAATTAATTAATTAAAAGATGACGTTTTGTGGCTGAAATCTGAAATTCAGTTTAAAAAAATGTTTATATTTATAATTTTTTCCTCAAACAACCTTATTTAATAATATTTTCAATTTTATAAACTTTTCCTCACATATTTTATTTTAATTAATACTTTAAATTAATTTTTATGTAATTTTTATTTATTTATTCTCCATTCAGATACAATACATATGTAAAATACACAACATCTTACATCAAGTCTAATAGTACACAAAATTATTGCTAAACTGTAGCAAATTATGAAACAAAATTAATAATCATTTAAAAAAAGTCCAGGCTATAAGTCTTGAATTAGGTCATTCAAGAGAAAAATAAACACATCATGGTCACTTACGTAAAATAATTTTTTGGTTCAAAATGGAATAATTCGTTAGCATAAACTAAAAGAGAAATTTCCTGTCTGAAACAGAACAGAGTTAAATTTTCCAAATTGATATAAATTAACATGAATTTTAAAGTAGTTTTGTGTTCGTCAAGCTTGAAAAACCCAATACAATATGTCAGTTCAAATTTTTCTCAATGTCCCCTTCTGCCCAAGTGTCAAGGGGCTCCGCTTCGATACAAGAACCTGCCGCAGCGAATTTCTTCGTTCCGTTTCGCACACAAGTTATGGCCTCTTTGGTGTTTTCTCTTCTTGTTTATGATAAATATAAATGGTGTCGTCCCCGACCAATGTCGTATTAATTTATAAAGGCAACACCACCTCGGCGGACTCTCCGCTGCTGCTTCTTCTTCTTCTTCCGCATACATATAAAAATTTACACCACTTTCATCCTCGCTTCATTTATTTATATATTTTTACCTCCCTGACCGGTGTAATTCAAACCGCAGCTTTATATAAAGGGACGTCGCCAAATTATAAAAATTTATGTCGCCCGGTGTGCATGCGTATAAAAAATATTTATCGCCGCCACTTTGGTCATTTTTCTCACCGACGCGTATCGTGCGGAAGTGAGAAAGGACGCCGGCTGAGGAGAAGAACGCGCCACACATCTCGCGGAAGCTATTTCGAGATTTTTGAGGACACAAATTTCGTCAGCAACCGACAAAAAGTGGCAATTAAAATGTATTAAAAATATTTTGTATTTATGGGTCAAATAAGAGAAAAAGAGATTCCTAGACTCGGGATTAATAATTTAAAAATTGGATAAATTTTTCATAAAAAAATTATTTATTTATTAAAACACAATTCATTTTGTTCAATCAATCAACAGATTTTTTTATTTGGTATTAGATCAAATATATACACAGCGATTGCCTTT